TTTGGTTCAAAGCATTAAAGAATCAGAATGGATTTTTGTGGTCAAGTTGTTTTTGGTTTAAAACAGACTAATTGACCTTTATACTAATTATGATTGGAATAAATTAAAAATAGGGAAGGATTCGTAAGGATATCATCTCCATCAGTCCCAAGTCTTGGTTTTGCTTTAAAAAGTTATTTATGGATCTTTCAAATTTTTTTTTTTTTTTTTTTTAATAAAGTCACATGTCTGAGCTTGTAGATATCTGGGGGATAGAGAGAAAGAGATAGTGGAAAGGCCCGGGGTCCGGGGCCTTTGTCCAGAGGTTTTAGAACAGCAGGCTAATGCAGCTGCTGCCCCCTGGTGGCAGTGTATTAAACAGTGCGCGCGGAGGCCAGGACACCTGGTGAACTAACTCCTTTACAAGGTTATGTCCAGAGAGTTGAAGAGGGAGCTAGGTCAGGTTTTCCTTTCCTACTCTCCTAGTGACTACCAGCTGTCTGATCTTAGGTGAATCATTTAATGTGATTGAAGTCTACATTTCACTTTCTTCAACTTTAAAGTGTAATTCTAAAGTTTCTTCCAGCTTTGACTGCCTATGAATACAGCAAATACTACATAGAGAAAAGTGTCAAGTTTCATTTTTCCTTTGCCAGTTGTATCCTATAAATCCTGGGTATTTATTCAAAAAAGCAGGTTCTACCATACATCCTGAAGTTTACTTCAGGTTAAGCTCTCATCAGCAAAATGCCTAGATCTGTCTGCAGTGTAGTCTGCTGTTAACCAGTACGATGATTATGAAAAGCTTATTTGTTGTTATGAGTTATTAGAAAAAGCTTAATAGTACATCAGTTTTTCTTTTTAAAATTTTTTGCCATAGGGCACGTGTACTCACCAGAGAAAGACTGAGAAGGAAAGTGAGAAATCATCCCCCCAGGGGGATGGCCACACTGCAATCCCTTCTCCATTCTCCTCTTGGGATTTTGGGCATGCACACACATGAGCCTGGTGTGACTTTTAAGCTGCCGGGTCCAGGACTCAAACCATGGGAGTCCAGTGACATAACTATTATGCCATCTGCCGGTCCCAAAAGTATAATGTTCCTTAAAATCCTGTACTCAGCATTATGGTTTAGAAAAAGTCTCATGTTTACATAAAGTGATGGGGAAATTTGAAGAGCTAATATGTACTAAAAATCTTAGGATAACTATTTTTTAAATACCCTAAGTTGTTTTCATTGTTATTATCTCTTTTTTTCTGTATCTTATTTCCTTTTTTGCATAATTTGGACACTTGGAGTTTGGTTTTTTGGTTTGTTTGTTTGTTTGTTTTGGCTATTGGGCACATGCACTAACCAAAAAGACAGAAAGAGAAAGAGAGATAGAAAGCGAGAGATCACTCCCCAGGGGGATGGCCATGCCACAATCCCTTCTCCTTCATTCTCCTCTTGGGATCCTGGGCAAACATTCATCCGTGCCTGGCATGAGTTCAAGCCACCGGATCCGGGACTCGAACCACTCAACTACATGGGAGTCCAGCAACATAGCCATCGCGCCATCACTGGTCCCAGAGCATTGTTTTTAATTGATTGGTTTCTACACATGATAAAACTTTAATATGTGGAAATTTTACTTTTGTTTCTTTCTTAAATTTTGTCACAAGGTGCATACACTTGCTAGAGACAGACAGG